GTACATCTTGATAGACTTTACAATATCTCAATTTTCTATCAAACTACTCCATTCTCAATGTTTTCTTTTTACTATTTATTTTATTCTCATTTCTTATATAACTTTATATTTCTTTTTTATGTTTTTACATTTTATTCTAAGATTCCCAATGTAACACTTTTGTCACCCCCTTTTTGATTATGCCTACTTCATCATTCCACGCTATGTAACAGTCTGTATTATTTATCTCTTAGTTCTTAGTCATTATTCTAACAATTTTATTTTACTTTATATCTATCTATTTTATTTTTCTTTTATCTAGATCTATTTTATCTAGATCTAATCTATTTTATTTTCTCATTTTTTTTTTGTTATTATCTTTTTTACCATCATTACTTAAGTTTCTCATACCTTGTTATCTGGTTATTTTCTTAGCCCTGATGATGGCCTGAACTTCAGGTCGAAACGTCGGCAGATGTAAAAAATAAATATTATAATTTATTTTTGCCTTCCTTTTTTGACTGAGCACCCCAACTATTCTTCTCTTCATTATCCACGACAGTCAACCAATTACCCATTATAAATTAATCTTAATTGAAAACGCAACTAGACCAACCAATGTCCCAAAGCAATCTCAGATCCCACGAATCACGAAACTGTGTCTACAGATGATATCAATAACCACTTCTTATCCCTAATTCAAAAAGCTTTCCCTACTTCCGATATTAAACATCATCATTTCAATCCTGAAGCTTCTTTTTCTTCCATATATCCTATGATGAACTACTTTCCACTATTTTAAAATCCCGCACCAATGATTATGATCCTGACAATATTTCAGTCAAACTAATAAAATCTAGCTTTCCTATTTTTATATCTGTACTATACCATATCTGTAGCTTTTCATTGCTAAACTTCATACTCCCATCTTTCTGGAAAACTGCCCCAGTCCCACTGACTTTTGAATAGAACTTCTAACCCTTCCTCAGTGCACGACTTCTATCCTATTACTTCCCTTTCCAATCTTTCAAAACCGTTGGAACGCCTTGTACAAAATGAATTTTCCAACTTCCAAAAAGAAGGTTTCCTCAACAATCCATTCCAATCTGGCTTTCGTTCGGGCTACTCAACACACTGCTTAAACTGAACTCCTTAAAATAACTCATGACCTCCAAAACTCCATCGAACACCAAAAACTTACTATCGTTATCCTTCTAAATTTTTCCAAAGCATTTGACACAGCTGATCATAACCTCCTCCCTACTAAATTGCAAAATATTCCTCTATCTAATAGTGCCCTGCGATGATTCAAATCCATTCTCTCAGATTGGTCCCGGTATGTAGTTATCACAGGTCAACCTCCATTTAAGATACCTCTCCTCTCCTATGGTGTCCCTCAAGATTTCACTCTTCACCCTTACTCTGCTATTTTGCTATTTACATTAATAAATATACATTAATATTTACATTAATGACCTTCGCCTCCTGATCCATCACTCCTAATACATTCTCTATGCCGACGATTTCGAAACATAAGGGTCCTTCCCGCCTTCTGACCTGTTACTAACCATAAAAAAACTTCCCGAAAACTTAAATTTGTGACTGGAGCTAATAAGTTTAAGTTGGATGCGGGGACGACAAAGGCAATGTTAATAGAAGGTAATCGTTAAACCAATCCCGCCGTCTTTCATACATCTCTGTTACTCCGTAGCCCCCATATCTATCTTTATTATTCTTAAAGGACTCAATAAATAAAGTATTATTATTATAAAATACTCCAAACAAAATACCGATCCATCCGAATATCAAGTCCACTTCTCTTGCATTATCCAAAATATGTCAAAAGACTTTATAATTTGCACCTACGGACCTAAATTAGACCAAGTAGCATCATCTTTCATAATCGAAAATTCAAACATAAAATTAAACTATGCAACATATACACCGAACTTGATGCGATTGCAGAAGCGCCTCATTTCTGTAAGTCTTCAAACCATCACAATATATTAATAGTTATAGTATATATTACTCTTATTATAGAATATAGAATGCTCATTAAACTCTCTAAAGGACTTAAGAAATTACTTCATAGTGAGCTCCTACAGAGATCATGTAACAATGGGGAATGTATAAGTAATAGTCACTGACATTCCAAACAAATACGAAATGATAGCGTCTAAGGAAATAGAATCGGTGGTATAGGAAGGTAAGAAATGGGTATAGGACCTGGTATATGTACCTGAGGAGACTTAGGATGGGAGAATTCGGATTAAAATACGAGAATTTATTTTATAAATAATAGATAATTTGATTAATGAAAATTCAACTTTATTTAAAGATATGTTCCAAGAAAAAAAATTAACGAAGAAAAAATGAATTTTGAGTCGACAAAACTCTCAAAATATATTTATATTAAAAATCAGAAGTAAAATTTTCTTTGGACACGAACACTATTTTCTTGGATTCATAATAACTCTGAAGAGCATCTGCAGTAAGAGAGTCATTTTTATTAATATGTTTAATGGCACAAACGCAACAAAATTTGTACCTCTTAGGACGTGTTCGGAGCCAAGTATGCTTAATGTATGTATGAATGTTCCAAAAATGAGATTATAGGTGTTTGATGTTATTTGTTGATATAGTTGACAAAGTTTACCCACAGTGGATTTTGTTAATGAAAGCGGATTGATTGCATTCGACGTTCTAACTCCCTCTTTTTCTCCGGTTTTCCCACCTATTCTTATTTTTTTCAGTTTCTTCATCTTCCCTTTTTTCGGCATACTTCGTCTTCAGTAGAATAGGAATTTATTTGAAGTTCGATTTTCAGTGGTATCTTGACAAACCCTAATAAGCAACATGTCCATTGAAACAGTATTTGATTCTGTGGAGTTCAGTGAAATCCCAAGAAAATCCCATAACAATCGAAACAACAGATTAATTATCATAACTCTGTGAGAATATTGTTTTCTAAACGCTATTTGATGGTTCTTTGAACGTTATCAAGGAATGAAAACATGATCGACATCATAATATAGTGTCGGTGCGATCCCCTACCTAGAACTAAATCGAAAAATCCCATTCTTCTAACCACCAGCTCAAGATTTGTTTACTCTTTAGAGAGATAGGCTCAACTTCAGTGTCATTAATTGTATAGACATGGATGCCCATATCTCCAAGATCGATTGCGCATAAATCTCTCTCATCCCTCCCAAGATATGTTATTGTTCTCTTCTTAAAAACAATACAAGCGAAAGTAGATTTTAAACAATTCGTAAATAATATGCAATTGCACTTGCTATGGTCTATTCAAAGTTTTCTCCTTGTCCTTTGATTTGACACTTTCCATTCCGAAAACTCACGACCCAGTCAAAACGTAGCCACCTCAAAAATTCAAAACCCCCTCAATATGTGTTCCTATCAATAATATTGATGACTCATCTTGCGCCTTGATATCATCTTCTGGGCACCTATATATATTGGTAAATAGATAAAATGACTATAATCATATCATGGGTGATAAATATTCTGCCCGCAGTCATTATAAAGTTTTTATTAGTGCCGACGTTTCAATCCAAACATGTGGGTCATTGAAGGTATTCAAGTACTGAAAGTGTTCAGTATCTCATGATGATGAAGATGTCTGGGTTGAAACGTCGGCACTAATAAAAACTTTATAATGACTTTGTCCTGAATATTTATCACTCACGATATGTAGAACAGTCGACTAACTTCCTTCAATGGCTATAGTGTATATTATATAGCTATAATTTGCACTGAGGGAAATAAAAATTTAAATTTCATAAATAAGAGGTAATATGAAAATAACTCTATGTCTCGAAGAACACCTTTTTTTTCAAACATAGGGCAGCCATCTGCTTAAAATGAGCACAGGCCAAACAAATTCTCTGGGTCCTCTTCCACTGAATATTACATTTTTTTTTTTTTATACTTGCACTAACGTATGGATTATTGTATTATGGAAATGAAACGTACTAATACATTATAACAAGCATCAAATGTTATCATAAAATACAATTAATTTTGGAGACTGTGGTCAGAGATGAAAAAACATTCAAATCATGTTCCTGTAGTAAGGAGACTTCCTTCAATGGCTATAGTCATACATTATTTGTATACTATAAAGTATAATCAAACGATATTTGAATAAAAAATAATTTTATTAATCCATTTAATAGCTATAAAATTCAGGTCACCTTTGTAAAACTGACCTGTGACATATCTAGGAATAAATAGGATACTAGGATAAATTAAGGATATGATCAGTGCCGGCCTTAGACAATCGGCTCCTCCGGACAATAACGTCATCTAAAAAATTTTAATTTATTTTTTAAGCTATTTTATGCTATGTAATGATGTGATATAATATAAGAAGGAAGAGGGGTGTGGTCAAATAAATACTATTTTTTTTAAAATATTGTTTTTAATTGTTTCGCCGACGTTTCAGTCTTTCATTCGCCTTTGGCCAGTCAATCAACTGCTTCCTGAAGTGCCTGATGCAACGCTCTGATGAAGACCTGCAAGGACTATTCTTTAAAAATTTAGTATTTACTTGACCGCACTCCCGACCAATTCTTTCTTATATTATGTAATATTTGAATTTTATTTCATTCAATATTTCTCTAATACAGCTGCTTCATTGATAGGTCAAATAAATTATTTTAATACGTTTTATATTTTTTATTAATTTCTAACCATTGGTAACCACCCTTGAAGATCAGCCGACCTCCCCCCAATTGGCGCCCTTCCAGCTCGCGCCCTTCCCTAAGGCCGGCACTGGATAGGATACTAGGATAAATAACAGATTAGAATAAATAACTAAACTATTATCGGCAAGAAACCTCACCATCTGTTACCAATACATGACCTATATTATAACATATGTGAAGGATAAACCGTTTAAATATAATTCTCTTGTTATAAGTGATTGTACCTTAATAAAATAATGACCCATATAGCATACGATATGGAGTATATTTTTGAATTAAGCAACACAATTTCAGTAATATAAGAAACACTGAGTTCGTTTACTATGATGATCGGCGAACGCTTCGGAATACAGTCATGAAATTTGAACACAGAATATATTTCTACATGACTGATCTCATAAGAACTTATGTAATGCAATTCAAGCATAAACTTGTAGTCGATTAAGTATATTTGAAAGTAATTCAGATTATACATATGAGAGAGGGAGTATCTATTCACATATTACTAAAAGGTTATGTTGACATGTCACTAAAATATTTGATGAATTTGAGGAAATTTAACTTAAGCTCTAAATATATTATATCAGACTTGACAAATTCAACTTTCTCAAGAAGAACATGAACTGTAACTGTTCCTTGTCGTCACAGAACGACAAACAGCTGACTTGAAAGGCGTTTTAACCTGAGGATGGTGTTAACACAAATGGTAAACACATACACCACAATGTTATTGAGCCCATGATTCATAAATGTGTTTATTTATATATTCTTCCATCATTGTTACCATGAGCAACTTTTTGTAATTTATATAACAATAAAATGTATGTTCTTGGCTTTTAAGTTCTTTGTACAATGTAGCTCAGAATAAGATGTTAAATATACTTGAGCAATCAAGATCATAGAATTTTATGTTGCTTTTTTAATGAATTGCAATACAATTATTATTTTATAATATTTTTACTAAGTATATTTACCTCCATTGACCCATATACCGCCATGAATCCTATTTTAGAATATGATTTTCGGCCCTCCTCCTTTGAATCTATCTGCAAACATCGTCTATTTTAAATGACTAAACGAGTGGTTTGAAAAAAGAACACAAAAATATTCTTTTAGTTCGTATGATTCATAATTCAAGCCATCATCTATTGCAGCACTGGTCCATTTAGAAAAAACTTTATCAAACTATTAGGTATAATTATAACAAAATATAAGGTCTAGGTACTGATAATCTCTTGAGCAAGATTTAAACGGTATGTAGGACATGAAAACTATGCTAGAAAAATAGGGATGTACTTACGTCTTTTTTTACATCCATCTGATTGCTATAGATTATATGATACCAATAATTTTGAACATGTCAAACTGAGTTGTGATCTAAAATTCAGAAAATTTTTGTACAAAGGTCACTGTTAAACAGATGTTTTCATAACATGCCTTAAAATATCACAGTAGATGAAATTTTTTAATTTTATACTTTTAAAAAGTTAATGCAGAGTGAAGAATTAATCGCTGGAGTATGCTGATTTTTACTGAACTTACAGATATATGTGCTCTGTAGTCCACCTAGCGTTACCTTCTGTACAAAGAATTCGTTTACATTTATTATCATGATTGGCAGCACAGTTGAAGGTAGGATTAACCTAAAACTGAAGCTGCTATTGGCTCTCAACTGTGTTAAGTTGCTAAGTGATAAAGCACATTCGTCAGTATAATCGACAATATTTAAGACAAAAAAATACTAATAGGATAAATTTGACGGAGCTATCATTCTGAATATCGAATATTATCTTGTTTTTATTTTCTTCGTCTTCCTTTTTCTTTCTGCCCCTTAAATTCATAAACCAGTGGCCAGAATATAGGTGATCCAGGAATCCTGTCGAGTTCAAAATATTAGTTCCACCATACTCTGCTGCTGTTGATTCCTATCAACATCCCGCTTTTACAAAAAATTGCCTGTTTAAAGAGGATTTCCTTCCTTCCGAACCAAGGACCCCGAACTGAAAACTCTCTCCCTACATTCCTCTATATTTTTCCTGTACTTATGAAATACATTTTTTTATAGATTTTATCTTTCTCTATTAGGTTTCAAATGCAGAACACATATACCTTCCTAAGGGTGTCCATCCTCTCTCCCTCCGCAAGGTCGATAGTGCAGGAACTTACTTCTCCCACTCCAAAGAAAGATATTTGATTGCTCACATTTTCTAAAAACATAGCAAGCTAAGGTAGAATTAGAAAAATCGTAGATCATACACAATTTCACTTGCTGAAGTATGTCCCATGTTTTCTCCTAATGCCTTGGTCTGAAAATTCATAACCTTGTCGAAATTCCTCCTCCTAAAAAATTCAAAACCCGTCAAGATATGTCCCCTCACAAATTTTAATGGCGCAACTTGCGCCATTAAATCCCCTTCTGGGCATCCCTGTCCCTTCCAACATCATTTGCTCAAATCCTTTTCTTTCTTCAGAGATTTTTCTTTTAGGGACCATCCTTAGATCCTTCAATGTAAATGACGTGAATGTAATGCCGTGCGTATTGAGCCGTTGCCCGCTTTAACATTCAAGAAGTGCCAGTTGAGATCCGACTTGAATGGGTTGAAATTTATTTCGTGGCGGACGAAATTTATCTCGAAAACGAAATGAATCTCGATCTTCTCACCCTGGTTAGAATTGGTTTGGTTCTACCTCTTGAAGATCCCTTCTCGGGAACATCGCCCGTATCCCATAAATGGCCAGATATAGAGAATATAAAAAAAAAACAGGATTCTTGATTGTTCGCTTTGCATAACTAATTAGCATACTTTCGAATTTCATCCCCGAAATAAAAAATCATCTGAAACTGGGTATCTGCCACATTGCCTCCCACTGAAAGCGTAAAACACTCCGACCCCTGTATCGCCGCGGGGCATAGCGAAAATTTGGCCGGTAAATCTATCATCGACTTTTCTCTTCTTCCGAGTATGTAGCCAATAGATTCCGATTGTGAAGAGGCAATTTAGCCAATGTAGTTTGCACTGTTCACATTAAAGAAGAAACGAATATCATTTCGATCTATATCCGTTAATTATGTTGATCTTCTGGTCTGGTTTAAGGAGACCCTAATTAACATTACTTTTCCAAATTTCGAAGTAATTTTTGGCCGTCACCTTCATCAATTGAACTTATTTCCTCCATTTTACCTAAGTGAGTGATACCTTGGTGTAATCAACCTTCCCTTCTTCAACATGATTCTGATACTTTTTGTGGGTTAACACATAATTCATAACTGACAGAGCATTTTCCATATGCAGATGATTGTTCTATCACCAGAAAAAAAAAAGAAAAGAAGAAGCGTTATCATTACACCCCATTAAGGGTTTTGTTGCAGCACTTGGTAAGGCTGAACTGTTTCAAGGACAATAGTTAGTTGTAAGCACAGGATCTCACTAAGCTGCTTGTCTTCATACCAATTAAGGCTACTCACTTTATTGATTTGTAAAGCCTGTCCAAAGAAGTTCTCCCCACCTCAGGACTAAAGTGGGTATTGAAAACTGGCTTCTTGTCATTGAGATTAAACCAGGGTGCCTCATATTCACTAAGCTAATCCAATTCATTTTAATGTTGTATACCAATATTAATGGCATATCTCAAAAACCTGTGACATTTTTCAAGGGGTCGAATGCCTGACTCAAGTGCACAAAGGAATTGTAATTATCAAATCACAAAATGTTTTTTATTTGATAGAAAACGGATATTGTTTTCTCAAAAACAACTTTTTTTAAAAATTAAAATGATATCTCATTCTTAAATATATGATATATTTTACAGTTGCTAAATATAAGCAATCTAAATGGTGGAAAAAGTCTTCCGACACTGAATATTATTTTATTTACTTTTTTGTACAAAATAATTTTTTAAAAGCATTTTCTTGAAGTTTATTATCGCTCTTTATTCTGTTTGAGTGCTTATAATTATCATTTTAAAATAATATATATGTAATCTATGTTTTTCAAAACAAGAGGTGCCATAATTCCACATGTAGTTGAACTAAGGTTAGCCAAAAAGAACAATCCCAAAAGAGGGTTCAATGTAGCAAATATTAGCGAAATTAGAGCTCTGTACCCAGATTTGGTGGAAAGTTCTAGCTATGTGAAAATGTCCAAAAATTCAAAAGACAATTATTATTTTACTTTTTCAATAATTTATATTTTTTTATGCGAAACATGGTTTCCCAATAGAATATTGAAGGTATAATATGAATCCGTAGACATATTTAAATTTATTCCCACTGAAAAATGATATACACTTGTTTTAATAATAATTTAAAAAAAAAACATTGTTTTTGAGAAAACTGAAAAATACTCATTTTCTACCAAATAAAAAATATTTTGGGATCTGATAGTTAAAATTTCTACGCACTTCTGAGTAGTACAGCATATGACTTTGATATTTTCGTCTGTTTTTGATGTATCCTGAACATGCAAAACTTTGATTTAATATTATTCTATTTTGATTGGTAAAACTTTGGTACCAACACCCTTTTTAGTATGATAAAAGAAGAAATAAAATAAAATAGATTTTTTACTTTCTTTTATTGGAAAATCATTTTACAATAATAATTTATATTTTCAAATTATAAATAGAAAGATAACTAATTTTATTTTATAACCTAATACCATGCGAAAAATATTTACAGTTCTGTGTGTTCTAGTTATTGCACACAAATTCTAGCATTTCTATTTTTTTTTTTTAACCATTTGTTTTATTATATTTCGAATCATTATAAAAAAATTTAAAAAAATTATTATACATATAATTTATAAGAACAGAAAACTTTTCAGTGTTCTTATGGATGAAACAATTATATTTTTTGAACATAACAATAAAAAATGCTTAAAGAATAAGAATGAACAGTACTTAAAATACAACTATACTTATTTTGAACAATATTCCTGCATTCTTCTATTTATTTATTTTTTAATCTTAATTTCATAAATCACAGGGCACAAAGTTAATAATTTATTTTGTAACAATTATGAAAATTTAAGTAAATACAGTTTATGTCTTAATTTTTGTGTGGAATTTTTGGACTAATCTTCTGAAAATATTCACTTTACACAAACACACAGACATAAATTCAGAATGTATTAGCATTCTGTCAAAAGTTAATATATTTTCTTTTAATAAAAAATTTCTTGGCAGATTCCAGATCATAAGGTAATTTAGTTTTCTTCAAATCATGAACTTTCCATCTCAAATAATATTTAGAAGTAACCCTTTTTAATCCAAATTTATTTTATCTAACATGAGATGCCCCATAATCATTTTGTGGTTTTATGAAAATTATTAACGAAATGTGGGTATATTGACTTCTTATAGAATATTATTGTCAGCAACAAAAAGAACACTATCTTAAAATGTAACTAATATTGTTTTGAGCATAAATTGGTTTGTTTTCCATAATTTTGTGGAATAATTCTAATAAAACATACATTAGACTTTATTAATACATTTGGTTTTTGTAATATTTGGTAGATATTGTATTTGAACCTCTTTTAACCAATCACTGTTTATCAATCTTGACTAATTGAGAAAACGATGAATGATATGTCCTTTCAAAATAATATTTCCCAGCATAATTTTTGAACATGGCATCAATAATTTGCTCCTTTGTTATAACAGTAAATTAAAATAGTTCTTTGAAAACATGTATTTCCAAGCTCATATTAACCAATTATTTCTAAAGATCATAAGTACGACAAATCTTATATGATAAATAATTATAATTTTATCATATATATGTATGTACATTCATGTTATTTATTTATTAATAACATATTAAATATATGATAAAAAATTAACTAATCTCCAATTGATTAAGAGGATTAGGTTCCACATGTAAAGCTTTAACCATTAACGTTGTCTTAGCTAACTATCACACGTATTTGTTTCTTATTCACACGATTACATAATAAAATTAATATTAAATATTAATACTATTTAAAATTCAAAATCATCAATAATTCATTCAATTTTTATTGTTCATATTTAAAATGAACAATAAAATAATTACTCAATACAGGCATTATTTTATCCTGTTTAGTTATTTACATAGTTTGAGCATATTCTTATTTATATCTGCATCCAATTTTGCAGAATTTTGATATTTTGTGTCACCTACAGTTTTTTTAACTTACAATGTAATTTACATTTTTACACTTCTTTCCTATTTTGTAATTTAAGAAGTGATAGTCCAAATATAAATAAAAAACTGTTGACTTTATTTTCTCATTGTTACTGTAGTAATATATTAAGTTATCTTGGAATTTTGTACTACCTCATTGTCATTGAATTTTCCTTTTCTTCTCCCGGAGGGTAAGCAATATAGAATGGTTGAGAAGGAGGAGGATACCTTCCAAGAGTAGAATAAGATGCTCTTAGCGGAGGTGACACTGAAGCTAACCTTTTACCTGGAAGGGTAGCGTAAGGCATGGGTAAAATAACTTTTGGACACGGGCATGCTGGACTGTTACAGTGAGGAACTGGCCCACGGTATCTTTCACCACCCCACCGCACTCTAGCTAAGCATGTTATAATTATAAGGACAGCAATAAAAGCTACTACACTTCCTACAATACTAATGATGAGTGTATCATCATTTGTGACAGTAGGTGTCATTGTCTTTGCAGGAAGACGATGAGTTGTTGGTACAGACCAAATAATGTCAGGTTCAGTTGGCCCATGGGTAATATGACTCATCCTAGTGGGTGTTGTTGGAGCTTCAGTTGTTGTTGAAGTACGATCACATGTCAAGTCATCGTCTCCAATTTCTGCTAGAAGCCTTCCATCTAAATGAGCAGGTTTTGAACAGACTACACCTGTTACTAATCCTGATCTCCGGAGGGCTCTGGCATTACAATCACAAACAATTGGATTATCAGCTAAACCTAAAAGCACAAGATCTCCCCTACGATCATCTAAAGCAGATAAAAATTGTCGGCTAATTGTGGTTAGTTGGTTTCCTCCAACATCAAGTCTGACCTTGGATGACCTGGGTAACGGTATAAGCAAAGCAGGAGGCAAAGATGTTAATGAAGTTCCCTTTATGAAGACATTAATGTTTGGAACCTTCAAACCAGCCAATGTACTTGAACTGACACTGTGAACCCTAGAACCACGGATGCCAAGTGTAGCTAAACGTGGATTCATTGCAGCTGATAACTGTTCTCCTCCTACAGCCGAATCTTTTACTTCTACATCAAGAAGTTCCAATGAAGGAAGGCTGTGGAGAAGTCCAGTTATATCAAGATATCCCAATCTTGGATATCCATAAGCTTCAAGCTCTGCCAAGTTCACCAGAGATTTAAAAGCCATTTTCTCAATTCGGGAGCATTCTTCTAAACCTGATATATTCAACCTTATGAGAGATTCTAGACCATCAAGATCCCCCTGTACAATACTTTTGATTGGATTTGAGGACAAATCGACAGTATGAAGATTTTTCAGCTTTGACCATACTTGAGAAAGGGTTCCACTGATGTCGCCAATTTTATTAAATGACAAATCTATTACTTTCAAGAGTGTTGGTCTTTCAAAAACTTTTTCAGGAATATCAGAAATTTGGTTGTGGGATAGGTTAAGATGGTAGAGAAATGGACTTTCCAATCGTGTTATATGAGTGATTCCAGTACCAGCTAAATTTAATTCTCTGACAGTTTTTGGCTCTCCTAATATACTTACAATAGATTCTGGTGTTAATGGGTTAAATGAGAGATCTAATTTTTTAATATTTACCATAATGCTATAATCAGGAGGAATATCTGTGAGTTTATTATTTGATAAATCCACAGAAGCTAAGAAGAAGTATTGTCTCTGTAAAGCTTTTAAGGGTGGTATTTCAAACAGATTTTTAGAAAGGTCAATGTTTTCCAACATACGAAGACGTGATCTTTCAAATATAGATTCTGGCAACTCAGTCAACAAATTGTCACTCAAATCAAGTAGCTTGAGTCTCCCTAAACCTTGAAATGTCCTCTCACCCAACCGCTCTAACTTATTTTCAGACAAATCAATAATTTGTAATTGAGTTGAGTTATGAAATGCTGTTTCACTAATTGAATCTAGTTGGTTTTTATTCAGCTTCAATAAATTAAGTCGTGGTAAGCGTCCAAAGTCAAAGTCTTCCAAGCTTTTCAGTAAATTTTCTCCTAGATCAATATCTTGTAAGTAGTTCAAGCCTACTATTAGTTCAGCAGGAAAAAAGCTGAACCGGTTTCTCGCTGCAGAAAGTTTCTGAAGTCTCGGATGTACTCTAAATGAAGAGGGAAATAAATAACTAAGATCATTATCAGAGAGGTCAAGTTCCTCTAGTTGTGTTCCATTGCTTCTTCTAGTGACGAAGAACTCGCCTTTGAAGGAAGACAACTTATTGCCACTCAAATCAAGTCTTTTCAGAGATAGTAATGCTGAAAAACAACCTGGGCGAATATTTGTTATATGGTTGCGGGACAGATCTAGAACTGTAAGATTTCTGAGATTTTGAAAAGCTGATTCAGTGAGTTCTTGTAAGACATTGTGCGAGAATGAAGCCCATCTCAGAGCTGGCAATTTCATGAGTAATTCTGGACTGAGAACTTTAATGTTGTTATAGCTAAGGTCAAGTACTTCAAGCTTCCCAAGGGAGTGAAAAGTACTGGAAGGAATAGTGGTGAGAGAGTTTTGGCTTACATTTAGAGCTAAGAGAGATGTCATCATAAGGAAAGCTGTTCGAGCTACCTCTGTGATATGGTTATGAGAAACATCTAGGGTAACAAGTTTTGGAAGAGGGAGTGGTTTAGTTGAAAATGCTGAAAGTCTGTTTCCTCGTAGGCTAAGAGACTCGAGATTTTCTTCTAGGCCTGTAAATGAAGAAGTTTCAATGCTGAGAAGTAGGTTTCCAGACAGATCAAGATGTTTCAGTTTGTTGAAACCCTAGAAAAAAAGAAACAAATGTAATTCGATTGCAATTTATATTTTTTTTAGTTTTGTATAGTAAATTTCTCATTATTGATGGCTGAATTTTATATAGAATTTGAATAGTATTATTCGGATAAATCATAAGATCTTAAATATCACAATAAATAAAAAAAAGTGCTGAAAACTTTCTAAAATAAAATTACCTGGAAAGCATCTGGAGGCAGCTCTCTAACAACATTCCTTGCCAAGCTAAGAGTATGGACTCGGTCTGCAACTGCTCCAAGTATATCATGGTCCAAGGCAGCAACCCTGTTCCAGCCAAGCTGAAGGCGTGCAAGTCTGGGTAGTCTGCCCAAAGCTGAAGCAGGGACCAGGAGGATATTGTTATCTTCCAAAGAGAGTCTTTCCAGGCTATCCAAACCCTCAAAGGCATCATCTTCAACCTTCAGAAAAAAACATTCAAAGTTAACTGGTGCATTTTATCATAAATATTTTTTTCACTCCAGAGTAAGGAGACCCTCTAGCCTCTATAAAGTATTTAGCCCTTCAGTGCATTGAGGAATAAACCTGATGCTTCAGTTTTTGTGTTTACCACTTCACCTCCTAGCATAAGAATAAAAAACAGAGTATTCTTGCCAACTTTTATACCCAAGCCCATCATGAGTTTTAATAGTACAGATTTATACTTAAAAAGCAATATTGTTTAACATTTTTTGTATGTTAGTTATACATATGTTGTACCAAAAACAATGATCTTATTTCAGGGTGTAATAACTACAAAATATGAGGCATTTGAGGAATGACTGCATTTCATTCAAATAGTCTTAAAGAGTTGAAGAAAATGCCATTTCAAGTCTAACAGAAGATTGAGCCCACAATTGAGAGAAAATCTCATAATGCAAAGACACTTTGGCACCAGGGAAGCATGCTACCAAATCCTTTTTCCCACAAGGCAAGAAAGAGAAGAGAAGAAAAAAGCTTGTAGTATAGAGGAGCTAAAAAAAAACAATAAAAAAAAAAGAACGTGATACTAAAATTACTTTTAATGAAAATATCTTAAATAGAGCGAACGAAAAATTTATCTAGTTGTTGTTTAAGGAACATAAAACTTTAGTAATACCTTATATGTTTAAAATATTTGTATAGCATGTTATTTAATTTTATATTTTGTTCCTTTTTTTTGTAGTGCTCTATCATCAATCAATGTTTTTTTTTTTTTAATTTAGGATTTCTTTAGATATCATGTTTTCCTAAACTAAATTTCTCTTTAAGCCTCTTTCTTCACTCTTATCTATCAATTGCCTCCTCTTTTATCAACCAATATTTAATCTTAGAATCAGGTCATTCTTAAAATATTATAATAAATTCTATATTATACCAATGGTAGTAATGTATTATATAAGTAAGTAATATATATAAGTAATATATTTAGTTTTCACAATATGGTACTTACAGTGCGTAGTGTATTAACGCTTAAGTCTAAGTGTTTTAGCTGTCTCAAACCTAGAAATGTTCCTGGGGCTATGTTTCCAATGTTGTTTCTACTAAGATCCAATAGCTCTAAATCTTTTACGGGTGAGAGTAATGTATTCGTCAGTTTCTAAAAAAAAAAATAAAAGTTATTTTTTTAATGTGATTGGAAATTATTAACTATTATACTATAATAATTTTGAGAATGGCTAATCTTCATTGTGCTAATTTTTATTAAATTAATTTATCACGTATTTTTTATTAAGTATTTAATAATGCATAAATTATTTATTCATGAATTAAACATTTGTTGTCATAAGTATTTGTTTTGTAAAATAATCATTTTTATGAATAAATAATATTAATGTGGAAAACAAAAGTAGTTCGACTAATTTATAATTTACTAAATCTGTGGTCAACTGTATTAATACTTCCAAAACTTAATTTTGGTTTTCAGTTATACTATATAATTTCCTTCTCTCGCTTTTAGATATATATTTTTTATCTCAGACATATATTTTAGGTAACATATTTAAGAACACTGAATAGCAATGTTGAGTTATGAGGATCATCCTTGGGAGACCTCTGACTAAAAAAAAAAATTCTTAAAACAATTCTCCCACTAGTCTTAGAGAAAATCCATAGATGGACAGATTTTTTAAACTTAATTTTTAACATTTTTTTTCTTGGTCAGCTGCAAAAGTTTATTATTTCAAATAATAATAATAAAAAAAAGCAATTTTCACAGTGCTGTATCTTTACTAATACTGCTCTGATTTCTATGTATATTTTTCTCTTTTAGAAAAGTTGTTTATCTTTGAAATATATGCTAATAAAAAAAAATATATTGTATACTTTATGAGTTATTCTTAAATAAAATTTTGTATTCATCATCACTTTTTTGGGAGAAGTATGTTATGTACATTAATATAAAGGACTTCATGGAGAAGACTTTGGGCAAGTTTAACTAAAATGACTGCAGCCTTTTAGGTCCTATAATGAACAGAAACACTTTTTTTTTCTCCATTTCAAAACTAAACTATGGTTGGCAATATCAAGTCATGACGATCATCCTCAGGTGACTTCTGACTTTTATACCAAATTTCAAAACAATTGGCTCAGTAGTCAAACTCCTATTAGTAGTTGACCTTCCTAAAATTTTACTTTTATTGAAAATAACAAACCAAAATAAATATCATCAACATTAAGACTTTTATTGATAGAATAAAGAAAGTACAATACAATAAAAAAGGAGAAACAAATATTCTTTACTTCACCTAAAAATATAATTTCTCTCGATATTTGCTGCCAATAAAATTTTGTAAGTCCCATTTGGCCTCACCTTCTAGTTTCAGCCCTGATATTGTATTAATCTTGGTTATTTAGTTATAAACAGGAATGAGGAAACAAGTAGGATGTTTAAGACCTTAGGAAATCAAACTTGCTGTTGTATTTAATTATTTTAGATATCAAATAGTTTATAGACGTTATTTTTTTTTTTACCTCTATCAAATTAGCTGACAGATTCAGATACTTAAGCGATGTAAACTGCCTTAATGCCACTGCTGGAAACTCTGTCAGGAAATTCTCAGATATATCAAGTTCTTGAACATTTTCAGCACCTATTAATAAAACATTGGAATTAATTTATGAATAAAGAAGTATTATTAGATAGGGATTTAATAGGAGGCGGCTTGGTTTTTTAATTTAAAAAAAAAATATGGCCTATCTTACGAATACACTTTTTTAACTACCAATGAATTTCAGTAATTATTCTATATTTAATATATGGTCTTCTTACATTTTTTAAATTAAAAAAGTATCTATTGCATGTAAGGTAAAACATTTCATATACATTAAAGGTTTTTTGTAAGTCGAATCTATCCTAGAAACAATAGTTGAATTAATAGCTCAATGAAAATATCTATTAATGATTAGATTTCTGGTGAAATATACTACGTTTTATCCTATGTATAAATATAAATTTGTAAATACACAGAGGGCAGAAAAGTTCTTAACATTTGAAGGCCTAAACAGCTGTCTTACTGATATCTTTTATTTTGCTTGATGTATGGTAATGGTTGATTTTGATCATTACTATTTCAGACTCGGAAAATAATTTTTCCTTATATCCAGATGAATAATACTGTTGACAATACTGTATGCAGTAGCATGGGTAGGTTTATTGGCACCCCAGGAAACTTCAAGTCACCCACCCCAACCACAATTCCAGGTTATGTCCTTCCAACACCACTAACTACCATATGACAAAGTAATACTAATCTGCAACCCAAAACTAAAGAAATGTCTTTTTTCTTAATGGGGTCTTAAAAAAATCTTATGAATTAATATTTTTGGAGGCATTTTAGTGTCTCCTTTAACCTAAACTGGGGTTGTAGCCCCATTCCTGCTCCTTCCACTAATGCCACTTCTTATATGAATACATTTTCTTCTGTCACTAATGTGGTATTAAACTGATTTATTTGTAATAATGAACACAATTTCATATATTTGATTCACATATTTGAATATGTGAACTTAAAAATTGGTTCATTGATTATATCACCACTGAAATAGTAAATTAAAATTTATTAGTCAAGAACAACTATTTGGCCTTGATGGAGATCTTCAACATTGAATAAACAATTTTTTTCTGACTTCTCTCTCTTTTCTGACTTTCTGTCAACCATCTACACATATAAAACATGTAAAGATTAATGTTATATTATTAGCAATTATGTAAAGGCAAGTTTGTACTAACCTGAGAAGACTTCAGAGTTAAATCTGGCCAGTCTATTCCTTGCAAGGTCTAACCTCTTCAAGGAAGACAGAGAAAAGAAGGCCCCTTCCTCGATGGAGGCCAGCCTGTTGTTACTTAGGTCAAGTCTCTCCAAGTCGGGTTGGTTGATTAAACTCCTGTCTCGCAGATTGCCTATACAATATAGCTTAAATCAGAATTGTGATCAGCTATCATAATTTAATCAATTAGACAATATTTGTATAACTTAAAATTAAAATAAAAAAATATGAGGCATTTCCGAAAACAGATCAAGTAAATAAAATATATTAATCCATGTTTCATCATTAGTAAATATGCACGTTAATAAAATTTTATTCTTTATTTTAGGTATATTTTTATGATTAATTAAATAAATCCGCAAAGAGAAAATTATCACTGAAACTGAAAAAAAAATATCTGATTAAAGAAAAAAATATTTGTAATTGATTTTTTGTATGTTTTCTTTCATTAAAAAAAGATAAAGGGCTGCAGGCCCATCTAGTGTGTGTTACTGCAAAACCCAAAGCAATTCTAAATGCTTCCCCTTTCTCACACATTTTTAAGTTATCAAATTTATTGCAGATAATATTATTTAAATAGTATTCCTGATTTCTGATACAAATAACCAATTGAAGAAGACTATAAAGCAAGAAATGATCATTATATCCTTAGCATGTTATGAAATGAATGTTTAAACACTGTTTATTTTTCAAAATATGTTTAGGCATAAGCTAAATAATCTGTTTAATGAGTTTTCTTTAACCTTGAAGATGGCACAATATTTTTCTAAATGACATCGAAAAATGAGATAAAGTTAATGGTAAATAAGTTTTTGTTTTTATTAAGTGTATTCCTATTAAAGAACCCAAGAATTCATTTTTTACAATTAGCTGTTGATGAAACATAATATAATATAATGAAGTTGTATGTTCATTCTGGATACATCTGCTGAGCATTGCAACTGTCCATGTTTATTATACTTAACTTCAGAATTTTAGAAAAAATCAAATAATGGTTATTAATTGTTGCAATGTTCAAAATGTTACATTCCAGAATTGCCTTTATGAAGAACTACAATTAACTTGTCACTATTATCGTTTATTTAAGTGAATAAAACACGTTATCATTTAACAAAAGCAAAGTAAATTTCAAACTTAATATTCAAATATTTTATTAATAAATGGCTAGGTAATAAAGAATAATGATATTTTATAAAGCGAAAAGTACATATTCAATTTATTTCTATCTTTGCTATTTTTTTTTCATCATACATGTTATATTCTTTTGAGGTTTTTGTTTTTAAAATTTCGACTACCTATTTCTACATACTTATTCTGTTATCCCTTAGTGATAACAGTTTGAGAGATCTAGGGCCATTTAGAGATGATGAAGGAACTTCCGTGAGGCTGTTTCCATCCAACCAAAGCTCCTAAAACAAAATGAAATATGTGTAAAGAACCAAAGAATAAATTGGTCAATAGTTATTACCACCATTTCAATTTAGTCTTATTACCCTATTGGAACAAGAAAAGCTATGGGTATGAATGATGTGAACATTTTTTGACAGAAATTTATCTTTGGTAACCCTTATTCAACAAATGTCTATGAAATAGTCCATTTTCTACCCTTAGAGTACAACATTAACTTATTAAGTAACATTAACTTATGGACTATCTCTCTGAAATGATTTGTGCTAAACTCTGCGTTTTGATGGTCTTGTTTTTCATCATATCTTAAGTATACTTAAGGAACCCAATCTTCGGACACAATCAGATTGAAAACCCAGGAGATTTCTTGATATATGGTTGTACCACTATAGTGGTACAGTTATAACTAAAAATAGGATTTTCGCTCAGATGTATTTTTTTTTTTTTAGCTCCAAATTCAGAAGAACCATGAAAGAAATAAGAAGTATGAATAGGATGTTCTATTGATAATAACTTTATATTGCACATGTTATGGTCACAACAGGAATATACATATTTTGAGGTATGCCTTGGGCATGGCCTAAATAGAAATTGTGAAACTTTTTTTTGGCTTTAAGACATGTCAAAGTTCCTTTTTTGTAGCTGTGAAACTTTCATCTATATTAATAAACTAGATAAAAATGGTAAATAATGTTTTTTGAAGGTGTCACATTCTGTGATATTATTATTATTGTACAAATAAGTATTGAATTGCCTTTTATCCCTTGAAGCAATAATAACCAGTTAAAAGGACTTTTGGTGTTAAAAGGAAGCTGCTCTCTTTATCAGAAAATTAGAATAAATTTGCCAACTTAGTATAGATTTGAGTTCTTTTCTTTATTACATTTTTTAAGTTATAAGTTTTTATGGCATGTTTTGATGTATTTTCATTGCGTTTCAAACTTTTTGCTGCATGATAACTTGGTCTTTGGAATAAATTTAATAAAAAATAATCATTAAAAAAAAGATGGAATAACCTATAAAAAAATAAACCGTTTTTGAAACCCTAACCGCAACTTCCTAGGTGTTTATGCCACCTGTTAGAGAAAGCCGTACGATGTAGCTGCCCACAGAGCTGATGATGGCTTTGAGAAAACAAGGATGATTCTCTTCCTGTTCAAGAATCCATTGGACAACCAGAGATACGGAATAAAAAGGGGAGCTTTCTTTACATCATAACATTGGATAAATCTTAGCTTCTCAACTAAAATTTGCTTTCTTATGTTATTAGATAAATAATTTTGGAGCTGTGATTGATTAATATTCATTATAATACACTAATTATCTTGAGATTATATGTTGTAGTTTGACTGCCTTTGGCAAAGTCTTAAAACAAATGCAACATATTTCACCAATAAAATGGAATAGGAACCATATTCTAAAGGGTCACAAAAACCGGTTTCGCTGAACAGGAGAATGAAGATTTTGGGAATCAGAAGACGCTAAAAGAAGTAGATTAAATGAGATATTGTTCGTATGAAAACACCATTATGTTTCTAATACTGATTTTTGATGACAGATGATTCCTTTAAAATTTTCCAATATATATTTTTACTATATTGGAGTACTTTTTCCGCATGAAAATTGACATTCGGATCATACTACTATTTCTTGAGCTCGGCTTTGTAGTTAAATACGTGCTTATACACATTTTGGTTCGTTAAATTGAAGGCTATTAGTGTCAACATTGTTTGAATTGAGAATAGGCGATTTAATATGTTTTCGCTACTGTAGTTAATATTTGTATAATAATCTTTAGTTAATAGGATTATCCATTGCAAATAATTTAAATATGTTTCTGAGTGATAGGTATAATGTACTTTTAAATAGCAGTGCAAGGAATAAATAACAGATCTACCAGCACACATTTAAATGGGGACCAGAAGTAAAATAACTAGAAAGGTAAGATGGTTGTGGGTATTTGCTCGCTGATAGATCGTATTACAAAAGAACAAAAAACCTAAACAACGATCTGACAGGCGAAAGTCCTAGCATTGCCATCTTAACTTATCTTCCTTTTAGATATTTCATAATTTTGTTCATGACTCAAGTTTCTTCTTACGCATTACACATTTGGCCCATTGTGAAGCCCTTAGCGGTAACGTTTGGGAAGTAGGAACGTGCTTGGGGAAGAGTCGTGCTGTTGCGACATCGGACTCCAGAATTGTGAAAAGAGAAGCGGCAGTCACGACGGGAAGAGGCCATCGGGCTGCTCAAAGAAGGAAGTGGTCCTTGACATCGCCTTCTCGATGGCTTTAGGCACAAAAGGGTAACCACTCATTAGCTTGGGAATGCAGCAGTGCTAAAGCATTCAGTACTTCTCTTAGTTACTAAATTGCTGCGCAGCAACTACATAAGTGTCTGAACGTATGAGATAGAGGATATAGTCATTCATCCTATAATGGGTAAGTACAATGTATGTTATAACAATTCATTATCTTAATATATTTCTACTTGGTCGTCGTGGATATAAAGAATACATAATAATTTTGAAAAGTTTTATTTCTGTACGTTTTTTACCTACTTTTCATCTTTGTTTAGATCTCCATATACAATAGGTGCAATAATTATTTCTAACTTCAGTTCCATTTGCTGGTGTTGGATAAATTACAACAAAATAGTCTTAAGATTTATCGGCCGTGAATAGAAGGGCAAAAGTTTATTCAGGAACAATAAATATAACCCTTACACACGAGGAAATAGATTACTGACCTAGTTAGAGGGATGTGAGGAGTCTCCTGATAACATTTCTTCCTGGGGGCCAATAAACTATGCGAAGGATCTGTATTTCTAAAAGATAGCACATCGAATAAGGAAATTCTACTAAATCCAATCGCTTGAAAAATATTAGGTGGTTCTTCAAAGTTGACTTTCCAATGAAAAACGTTGGCCTTATCTTTATTAATGTTGGTTCATGGAAAATTTAAAGAACCCTAAGGTGAAAACTTTAGGCTAGTTTCATCAAAATCGATTTAGCTGTTTGGTAGCTACAGTTTATAGAAAGAGTAAGTAGATATTTTTAAAGTGACCAGAAGTACACTGTAGAACATCTTGCAGTTTGTAATTTTCTTGTTACCAAAGCGATTTATAAAATAAATAAGTAGTTTGTATGAAGTAGTTTTGTCCAACACGATTTAACAAAGAACTACAACTCTAAAATACAATGCGAGTATAAAATAACTGCTTATAACTAAAGAAGATTATTCCAGACTATTAGTACAGGTTACTTAAGGTCGTTTTAGAAACTCTTTAAGTATAAGTAATCCTGCGCAGGTAAGAGAAAGCTAAAGATGCTTAAGGTGGAGGAATGTCGACTTGGAGGTCGTACGGAGAAAATACAAAACGGGTACACGCAGTCTAACATATTCGCCAACTGTGCGTTCTTTTCCTTGTAATTAGTGTTAAATAACGACGCATTTTTTTTTCCTCTGGGAGCTGAAGTTACTTTGTTAAAAAGAAAATCCAAATGTCTATACAACTAATTTGTAATTTAAATAATATGTCTTGATTATTATAAAAATTTCTATATAGTCAAGGTGCTCAGAACAGGATTTCAAATTATTGAAAAGGATATGGTAACTTGTATAGAAATTTGTGCATTTGTATGGTAAATTTTTGGAGGAGACCTCATTTTTGCGGAGTTTCAATTTTGGGAAACCTTCATATCACTAATAGGGGGAGATGTGATGTAAAGAATGATGTTAATCATTCTAAAACTACTTCCACTTCTCTTAAGTTGAAGCGATAAAATGTCTTGGATCCATCGATCTTGGGGAGGGATGGGCACCTCCGTATATAGCTTTACTGTTATAAAGAGTAGATACATAGATTGTTAGATACAAACATCGATTACCTATTTTATGAAGCCGTTCGGATAGGTGACATCGTGTTCAATTCAGAAAGCATCAAGAAGTAGACGCAAAGTATTCAATTGTTTCCAAAAAGTTATAGAAACTGAGTAAATGAATAGACGGATTAAAAAAAAAGCTTCAGTAGACTAAAAAATGATTAGCAGTGGATGAGTGGGACTTGAAATATTTGAAAAAGAATTAAAGAAATTATATTAATACCACAAATATTTAACTTCAGTTGATTGCGATAACATCTAACAAGGAGCTGTAATTTTAAAAACTAAAAGTTCATCGTGAAAATGTATATATGATAATATCCTTTACTCCGATACGATCGATTTCTGTTTGTACATCTGAAAAATGGATTGAAACCTTCTGCGAAAGAATTGTGTTTGAACATTCAAAGGCTGTACCTCATACTTGGCATTGCCAAATCGTTTATGGTAACTCCATGTTATTAATTTAAATTATTTTTATAGAAAAAAATTAATTTCATATTGTGAGGGGGCGGGTCTATATTGGAGGATTGGAACTGCGAACTATCACGAGTGGCTACACTGAGTCGAGGAAACATTAGGAAGGTTAAAAAAAATGATGAAGCTATCATGTCTCACATGTTAATACTATAATCTGTTATGTAGAAGCCAGCAGAAGAATACACCTTTATTAGGATAAATCCCCACGAGCAAGTAACACATTTACTGATACATTTCGCAGGCAAACTAAACTACCTTGTGTAGTTCAGTAATGAGGGGTCATTATCATTATCGATTTCCTATCAACCTTATGAATCGATTGACACAGAGAAATTATATAGTTGTTTCTTTTCAGTGGGGATATCTTGCTAGGACGTCAAAGAATGCGATATCTTCCGGAGGTTGACGTCAGGTTGGAAGTTGGACTATTTTTGCCTGTGATTTTATTTTACCATATTTATTTCTCGAGCCTCCTATTAATTATCATTATATAGAAATAAATCTAGCATGCGCATGTTGCTATTTTAGTTATTTATATGCACATTGTTATTTTGATATATTTTTTTATTAGTGAGTTGCTATTTATTGTGAATGTTAATATATTTATTGTAGTTAGTATTTTAGTAGATTATATTTATTAACTTTGTATGTAATTTAGCTTATAGATATAGTTCCATGCATGTTGAACAACATAATATACTCGCAGAAGCTCAATTGTAATTATTCATTATTTTTCCTGTCACCCGTCTTACACATATTTTACCTATTACCCAAACTATCTATCGTTACAGTCATGGAACATAAAAAAATAAGATCACTTACGGTAAGCGAGTCACATCCTTTGAGAAGTCCTTCTTCCAAAGCCTTGATAGAATTGTGCCTTATGTCTAGGAGCCTGAGGCCCGCGAGCCCGTGGAACTGGGAGGTGCTGAAGATGGGATTGAGGGAATCCCCGAGGAGGTTGCCCGCCAGCCGCACCTCTTCCAGGGTCTGCTCCAGGCCGCCGCTGAAGACTCGCTCTCTCAGCCTGCGGATGGTATTGTCCGTCAGGTCCAGTCGTCGCAGAGGGATTCCTGAGGGTTGAATTATCATTAGTTATAGAGCAACTATTAGTGGTCAACATGAATTAAAGTAAAAATGAGTTAGTTTCACTTTTATATTGTAAAAATTAATTACAACAAAATAAATAAAAATCACGGAGAAAAAAGACCTTTACCACTGTGACGAAAAATAAAATACAAAAAAAAAATAGTTCGTAAAATAATTGTTAGTTTTAGTTTTACCTAATTAAGAGGGTTAGCTAAAAATAAATTAAATAATTAGTATTAGTTGATAATCAGTCCTATTTTTAAGTATTAATTCTATTTCGGATCGGAATAACCAACAGATGATTGGGAGAAAAACAATAGGGAGTTTAGAGAGGGATGGTAGCGTGAGTGTTGAGGCACGCTAAGGATTTTTGTATGTGAAATACTTTAGTTTTACGGTGTAGGCCGGATTTTCTTTTCCTATCCATGAACCTGGGATTATCAACGACGAGTGCTGCTAGATTTTACAAGTTGGTGAATGAACATTGTCACAGTTTAAAGTGGTGAACTGGGGAGACCCTGATGACGCTAGCTGGAATAAGTTCTCGCTTCCTCAGATAACTCAATGTGCCAATTGGACAAAGTCCGGCATTGAGATTTTGTAAATATGTATATATAAGTTTTTATTTCCTATCTTTTTTTTTCTCAAATATTTGTAATTTGTTTATTGTATAGTCTAAGTTAATGTTTAGTTCTATAATAATTTTATATTATATTTTTTTTATAATTAAAGTTAATTGTATTTTCTTTGTTTTCTTATAAATCTAATTTCTTGTTCATAATTTTCATTTCTTTTAACAGTTATTTAAATCTATAGAAATAAGTAAATTCATCATTAGTATTAATAATAGCCAGTATTATTTTCTTCCGTTTGTTTTCACGTTTTATGTATATATTATTATTTTTTTTTTGTTTAAGGTTTAATAAGGAATTGTAAAACCCTATTCGAGGGATTAGGGAAAATGAATATCAACCGAGTAAAAAGGTTCGATAGGTTTTTGAGGTTAGTTAACATGTTTTTAAACCCATAGGTTCCGAGTTCGTAGCTCACTCCGCGTCCAAATTTTTTTTTTTAAATTAAATTTATTTTTATTTTTATTGTTTTCGCTATTTTCTAGATTCAACCAATTAAATAGCGTGGCGCCTATTAGATAGTTAGTACTAATTAATTGACTCTTGATTATTTTTTTTTTTGATACTCCACTGAGTATCCGGCAAGTTTGTTGCGGAAACCATTTTTCCAAATTAAACACCGTAACACCACTACAATCCAGGAAGGGTCTTGGGTTCAATACTATGTGAGAAAGTACTGTTGCAAGGCCGAAGGTTGTGCAGGAAGGTGATTGGGCCGATATTACGCTTAACCGTCATGTCCTTTCCCTGAATTAATTATTTAATTAAGAGTACTCAGTTTGTAAAGGCGGGGTGTGCCCCATTACTAGTCATCAGTCAATGCTCACCCACAGAGCTATCCCGATCCATATATAGTGTAAATATGACCAATTCAAATAGGAAATTATTAACCCCACACCTGCTGCCATAATTTTACATTTTTATGTCAAATTATGGTATTACACTTATATATCAATTTAAAATGTAAGTTCGTCAAAGTGGACGTCTTGTAATAATCCATTTGGATCGATTCTGTATTTGGAATATCATTCTAGAACACAATCATCTTGTTGCATTGCTTTGAAATTCGAAATGTCTGAATTGATTGTTCGATTCCTTGATACGAAGGCTGTCACAACAGAATTGTTAATGAAGATAACTTCTAATAACAAGTTATGATATCGTTCCTTGTGTTGCCGAAGCATTTATTGTTACATATTTGGGCTGTGGCATGGAGGCATCTTATGAATATGTAACAATGTTATCCTTTATTGGTTCTTGTCTGGCATTGTTCGAATCAAGAGATTAATCGACGTCCTCAGTGCTTCTTGGGGATGGTTAATTTATTTAATTTATTTATGTATGAAAAGGGAATTAGTTCAATTGAATTTAGTAAACATAATGAATGTAACATTAAGTCACATCACGGTTCAGTCGTTTCATAAACAGTAGAAAATAATTGATTCATAGAGTATCAGATGGTGGTTAAGACTATTTGAATTAATTATTAACAATTTCATTGATGTATACCATACTATAAAATATTTTCTTTATTAAATAATAGGTGATATTCCAGTAATGTTAAGTTTACAAATGTTTAGCTTTCTCCTTATGGGGCTTTAAAAAAATAATGATTATAATTATTTTGCATGACTCTTGTCATGAATACTGTATCTGTACACTATCAGATTTAAATCAGAAAACTTTGAATCGATTTAAAAAATAGAAAAAAATTTCTACATAATAATTGGATCTAATTTGTTCTCTAAAAATACCGACCTTGATTCGATGAATAATCATGTTTTTTTAAAATAATATTAATTTTTTTATGCAAATATATAGTCATACTTAATGATCATTTGAATCAGAATTCATTTGAGCTTATGAAAATTTAAATACTTTCCTGTAATCATCAAAAAGGACAAAAAAGAACTCAATGTAAAAGTAACCAGCCATATATCTACATTATTTAGAGATTAAGCTTGAAAATTTAGAAGAGAAACTTTTTTTAAAAAACTACACCAGAATGATTTTTACTGTAGTATTCAGAGTTGTTCATAAGGGGATTTCTTGGCGCACGTTTTTAGTGGGCACATTTTGACGAGGTTTTGAATTTGTTTGTTTTGAATTTGTTATGTTTCAAAGCAGTGGACAAGAAGAAAGCGTAGAACGGAGAGTGTAATTGTATATGACCTATGATTTTTCAAATTCTACTTCAGCTTGCACTGCTTTTAAGAAGAGGACAACAATAAAATATATTAGGAGGAAGGACGGGTTCATGCGTCATCGACCTTGGGGGGAGGGTATATAATATTCCGTGTAATATTATGCGTTTCCTCATAGCCAGGTATAAAAAGGCTCTCCAGTCAGCAAGTAAATATTTTGTGTTCTCCAAGACTGAACATACCTCAAGATCATTTGCTGTCATTTCATCATGGAAAATGAATAGAAGAGAAATTTCTATTATTAATTGTTTTATTCCTACCTATTTAGGTAAGATGAATTCTTTGTAAGTATGATAAACACTGACCAATATATTTGTTTTTTAAAAATCTATGTGAACTATTGTCAAACTTGAAATAGTTATTTAGTTTATTTCACAGTCTATGAGCCTGTTCAGTTACCTTATAAGGTGATACATGATACCTATTGTGAACGCCTCCGCAAAGGTTATGGTCTGAGCATTATATACTTTAGCTGGCAAACCAGAGCATCATAAAGTTTTTTCATTATTGTTTTTAATAAGCTTTAGAAGTCTTACTCATCATCAAGTATATTAACAGAGAGATTTAATCATAAATCACAAAAAGTAATAAAAAATAAAATCCAGCGTGTTAGCTCGTTCTTACATTTCAAATATAAATTTGTGAAAAAAATTTTTCCTTCACCACACTGAAAAACAATCAATCCTCCGACTCTATTGATTGGAGAACAACTATTATTACTACAACAATCGAGGTATTACGATGTTCATCGAAAGCATGATTGTAGTCGTCCTATGACCTCTCTGGGTACTTCAAGAACTCCTACTTTAAGCCCTAAATTTAATTCATTAAGGCACAAAAGGTTCTACCAAGTTGGATAGAATAATACGAGGAGAGGTACAGTAATTACATTACTTTACTTTTTGATTATTATTTATTGTTATTTCGCTTCTATTTATTTTCTATTTTTCTGTACATATAGTGTGAATGTTATTCTACCTCACTATAACTAAAGCCGAAGTGACAGATTGTTGTAATACTAAATAAATAGATTAAATAAAATATATAGAAAAAAGTACTATATAGTCACTACTATACTACTATATAGTCACCGATGGCGCTTATTTTTACTATCAATCGGTAACATACTGACTGTACCGATAATCCAAAACCAAATGAATAATCCTGGCGTGGAAGAAAGACTTACAAAAGAACTATGTGAGCCAATATAGTTGACTTGTTGTGAACCAAGATTGCAAACAAGTCCTTCAAAAAGATGCAGAGTAAGAAGTCGAAGGAGAACAAAGCAATGATGTTCCTGCCGAAGAACTTCAACGACCACCATGGGTAAGACATTAAGGTGCAAAATTCTATTCAAAGAATATTGAAGGCAAATACACTACCCAGTGACGTACATAGTTGCGTGCAAATTTTTCTGATAAAAGATATTGAAACAAACCGTTAAATGGGAAGTGTATAATTAAAAACAATTTGACTAAGATTTTTTAAATGAAGAGTCATTTATACAAGTATTTATTAAACTTGCTTGTATTTATTCCATACACTCATTCTTGAAATATACTGACAATAGTAGTAGTGAAAGGCGTTAAGCATTTGCAGGACCCCACCCAGTACACCATTGACTCAATTTTTTTTACACAGTATTTGGAAGGATAAAGAACTCTTGTTCTTCTAAAGTACTTTTTGAATTAAGAATCGGGATTTTGTTGATCTTCGTTGACAGTATTGAGGGACGAAGTATGAATAAGTTCTTGAAGGAAAAAAAATAGAGAAAGTGGGATTTAACAGATGGTCAGTATTTGTTTTTAATTATTAATAGCGGAACTTTATTTTCTCATCCTTTTAGTTTATTACATTTTTTTTATTGTTTGTATGTGTGACAACAAAGCTCCTAAAAAGAGACAGGCTTTTTATTTTAAGATCATCAAATCGCGATCAAACCGAAATGACCCATTTTTCATCTCTTGGTAGCTTTCTATCCGAGCTCCTTAGGTTTATATTAAGGTCAACTTGCTTACATCAGTATCCTTCCTTTCAAAACGTCATGACTGAACATTAAGTAGTCCTCGGCAAGACTTGTTGTTATAGTATTTATTAGATTATTACAGGCAATCCTCAGCAAACGTGAAGTAATCATTCCACGTTGAA